TGGAAAATTTGAATGACGAGGTAGTTATCAATGTTATGGCCAAGAACTGCAGGTATAATAAGTTATTTGAAAGTCTAAGTATAGATCCACCTTTGACTTTTGCCGAACTCATAGTACGAGCCCACAAATAGACAAAACTAAACGAAGCTCATAAAGCTCCGCACCGTAGATCACCTAAAGAAGAGAACCCCAAGTATAGAAGACACCCTTCCTCAGTGAGCAGAAGCTCGCCTAGGAGGAGATCGCCCCTAGCATAAAAGACACTCACCTAGCATAGAAGACGTTTGCCTAAGATGTAAAGTAACTTTATATTTAAATAATAAAGGGACCTCAGGTTTTTTCACTTAATGTAACATGCCTTATAAAGGTAAGAAAGACATAATGCATTAAGTTTTTCTTGAAGGATCTTACTTAGAAACTTTTCAGCATTCTTTTTAGTTCTCTAGTTTGGACCTAAACGGGCCTTTAACTAAGTCCATCAGTTCGGACATACATGGTTCTCCAACTTGGACCTAAGTGGTCATTTAACTAAGTCCATAGCTCGGACATACATGGTTCTCCAGCTCATAAGCGGTACTTTAACTAAGTCCATAGCTCAGACATATATGGTTCTCCGGCTTGGACCTAAGCGGTCCTTTAACTAAGTCCATAGATCGGACATACATGGTTCTCCGGCTGGGACCTAAGCGATCCTTTAACTAAGTCCATAGTTCGGACATACATGGTTCTCCAGCTCGAACCTAAGCAATACTTTAACTAAGTCCATAGTTCGGACACACGTAGTTCCATTATATGACCTAAGCGCTTTATTCAGTAAGTCAATAGCTCGGACATACCTAGTTTGCCCAGATGACCTAAACTGTCCTATTCACTAAGTCCATGGCTCAGACATACCTAGCTGACCCAGATGACCTAAGCGGTCCTATTCACTAAGTCCATAGCTCGGACATACCTAGTTCGCCTAAATATCTCAAGCAGTCCTCCAGTTCGGCTCAGGCTTAAGCAGTTCTCCAGTTCGGCCTGGACTTAAGCAGTCCTCCAATTCGGCCCCAGTTTGGCTCGGACTTAAGTAGTCTTCCAGTTCAGCTCGAACTTAAGCAATCCTTCAATTAAAACGCTCCATTTAGCCCATAAAATTTCAAGTTAATGTAACTTAAACAGGTTCACACTTAGGGATGATAAGGAGAACTTTGCTTTGACAATTTACATATACTACTCCGGCCCTAGTGGAAAACACTTTATCAGAAACGCTTAGAAATTTAAATTACACCAACATTCAAAATCATACAAAAAGGATAAATAAAAGATTTCTTGATTAAATATACTGAAAGGAAGTGACTCTTGAGATTCTCCTTAGGGAAACGAACCATCACCCTGTTTCTCCCAAACAAAGCCGCCGCTGAACAGACAAGAACATACAAGGAACTCCATGCTCAAAAAGTACCTATAATAACTAGTAATCACAGTATAAGAAAAAAAGTCTACACATGTAATATAACACATGACAATATCTTTTGGACATAAATGACCAAATAAGGGGACTACTGTTACCAATAACACATGACAATATCTTTTGGACATAAATGACCAAATAAGGGGACTACTGTTACCATATAATAATAAAATATATTAAAATAATAATACTAGACTCCTAAATAAACTCTAACAGATAATACAGAATTCGTAATCCTTATCCCAATACGATTACCTTGGATCCAGTATATATACTCCAAATTTACTCAAAAGAGGGGCAAATTCGCAATTTACTACACCTCAATTTCTGAGAGCTTAACACTAACTCTTTTGTAGAAATAATTAAAAAAAATTTTGGACAAATGTAATTGTAGGTTAATAAATTAAATAACAACAAACACAAATAAAAAAAACTGAGACTTTATAATTGCCGTTAACAAAAGAAACTGATATGGCTTTTTTTTTTTTTTTTTTTTATACAGGATTTTGTTTAGAAGCCAAACAGGCATTATTAAATAAATCATAAAATTAAACCAAAGCAATCAAAAAAAATTGCATCAAGAACAATCTGCCATATCATCAATCAAGTCCAAAGCCCATTTAATTTTTAAGGCCAAATACACAAACTATAGGTTCAAAATATACAGATATGAGTACACACTTTTCGTCTCGAGAAATCATAAGACCAACAAAACTATACCCTACAAAAAAAAAAAAAAAAAAAACAAAATAACTGATTTGAATAAAACTTAAATCCTGCAAAAGACCACTAGCTAAAAAAAAAAAAAAAAAAAAAAAAACTCTGATTTGATAAACTTAAATCCTAAACCACTACTAAAGTTTTGATCCCCACGTCAAGTACATACCCATAGAGGTGGCAATTGAACAGGTTGTGCCATAGACGACTACTGTACAACCCTTTTTTTTTGAATTCAAAAAGAAACCTGGATCTCGATTTTGAAAACACCTGGCTTTCTAGAAATCCACAACTGTCGAGATCAGCAGTCACAAGATATAATATTAAAGATGAAAGTAATAAAGGAAAAAAATGTTTATACTAAATTCTAGATGGAAAGGAATTCTTATTATGCTTATAATTTTCAACTCTTGCTCTATCTTAAGCAATATATCTATTCTGTTTCCAACATTGAGATTTCACCCAAAACACCAAAATGTCTACTTGGAGATATTAGACTTTATAAATAGGTACTTGGGGAATGGAAAAAAAAAATTAAGAACCTGTGTTGTTTCGAGTGCAAATTTAGCCCTGGAGGATTGAATATGTGATGTTCTCACACGAAAATGAAGATAATAAAAAATAGTATATATTTTTGACACAGAAAAATATAAAATGTCTAATGCAACGGTAAGTAACAGAGAAGAGGTGAGTAAGTAACAGAGAAGAGGTCAGACTTTGATGAAATTGGGTAATATTGACTATTGTATGGAGATAAATTAGGAGTTTGGTATCTATGAAGTTTTCTTAAATTTTGTCAATCTCTAGTCAGAATTTAGATATATCAGTTCTTTGATTATGATAGTTTAGATTAATTGAAAAGGTACTCATGGAATTTTCTTATGTTTGGCATCATTGGTTTGATTTTGTAATCAAAATTTCTACTAAAAGGTTCTCAAAGTTGTAGTTTTTCTTATAAGAAGAATCTAGAGTTATACAACTAAACAATTGAGGCTTGAAAAGCTTTTCTATACAAGATTCAGACTACTTTGTTGCTGTTTGATCTATGATAGATATATTAGATTAAATTGACCAATTAAAGGTCATCACTAAACCCACTCGTAATTTTTGTCTTATGTTTGCGCAAAATAATTAGCGCTTCTAGAGAATTATGTAACTCAAAAATTTATCACTCACGTAAACCAGGTATTTCTCAAAGTATGTGAGCCATAATTTTTCTTATAAAGCACAGAATCTAGATGTTATAAAAACAACTAAACCATAGGGCTTGAAAAGCTTTATCTGATAATCACGCAGATATCAGACTACTTTGTTGCTCGTCTACACAACTAGACACCACCACTCCTGCACCAAAATTTCACCAATGTTTAATATCCCATTCTCTTTTCTGGTTAGTATAACTTTAATTGAGTATTGTAACAACTTTTAATCATATTAAATTTTTCTTTTTATATAAATACGGTATACAATGCTGTTTCCAACATTGAGATTTCACCCAAAACACCAAAATGTCTACTTGGAGATATTAGACTTTATAAATAGGTACTTGGGGAATGGAAAAAAAAAATTAAGAACCTGTGTTGTTTCGAGTGCAAATTTAGCCCTGGAGGATTGAATATGTGATGTTCTCACACGAAAATGAAGATAATAAAAAATAGTATATATTTTTGACACAGAAAAATATAAAATGTCTAATGCAACGGTAAGTAACAGAGAAGAGGTGAGTAAGTAACAGAGAAGAGGTCAGACTTTGATGAAATTGGGTAATATTGACTATTGTATGGAGATAAATTAGGAGTTTGGTATCTATGAAGTTTTCTTAAATTTTGTCAATCTCTAGTCAGAATTTAGATATATCAGTTCTTTGATTATGATAGTTTAGATTAATTGAAAAGGTACTCATGGAATTTTCTTATGTTTGGCATCATTGGTTTGATTTTGTAATCAAAATTTCTACTAAAAGGTTCTCAAAGTTGTAGTTTTTCTTATAAGAAGAATCTAGAGTTATACAACTAAACAATTGAGGCTTGAAAAGCTTTTCTATACAAGATTCAGACTACTTTGTTGCTGTTAACAGAACCATCTGACCAAAATTTCACCAATGTTTAATATCCATTCTCTTTTCTGGTTAGTATATTATTGTTTGTAACTTTTTAATTTATTTTCTTTTTTAATAGGTATACATGGCATCACTGCTTACTTCGGTCTGCAAGATATTTGTTCTCAATGAAAATGAGCAAATGAGCATTAAACCACACTAAGGTTCCAATGGAAGTTAAATTGAATACTAAAAAAAGAAGAAAAATGAATAACACAATCCTGATAAATGCTTACTGATCTCGCGCAATCTGTGTTTTGAAACCCTAACTTTAATCAGATGCGTCTGAGAAAGAAAGAATTTGAGACAACCCTTTGGAGCTTCAATGGAGGAAATAGAAGAAGTTACTTACTTTTGCTTTGATTTTGACGATTAATTCGGTTTTGCAAGAATGATTCGATTTCGAACGCGTGTGAGAGAGAAAGAGAGATTTAATTGAGTGGAAAATGTTAAAAAATAAAAATAATAAAAAACTGTAAGTATATATTACTGTGTTTACCTAGTTTGATTGATGGTTCCTAATCCTATTCATATTTTTAATTTTTAATAATTTAATCAACTCATCTTTTTTGGATTTTTAATAATTAATTTTTAATTTTAATAATTTTTAATAATTGTTGGTGTCTACTCTTTCCCCGTATTGACAATTTCAGATACTTAAACTTCCATACAATGTAAATAATTTCAAATACTTAAGCTTTTGTATAATGCAAACCGCTTCACTTTTATATATTATATATATTATTATTTCTTCTCCGAATCAAGGCCCAAACCCATTTTCGTTTTTTCACCTTCATCTCGCGATTGAATCCCTTCTCCGATGTCTTTCTGCTGTCGTATTTCACTCTCAAATTCCTAATCTATGGCGTCTCCTCTTTCCATTTTCATTTTAATTGTCGCCAGATGCACTCTCCGTTTTATCTCTTGATGGATTCAAACTATGGAATTTACATGAATCAAGCTTCAGAAACATCATTCAGATCGGTGAGCTCTAGACACAAGTATTATGTAGAAATAAGGTGAGAGCTAGATTTTATTAGATTAAAGTTTGACTGGTTTGATCCAGAAAACAAATTTGTTGTTTTTGTTTTGTGTTTTCTCTTCTATACACTAACTCCTAGAAAAAATGAATCTTTTCCACAATTCTTTTTTTCCAATTTTTTTTTAACAATCTCCGTGTCTGTATTATTGATGAAAAATATTCGAACAAAGAAATTACTTCTTTTTTGGATTAAAGTTTGAATCTTGTCACTCCCAGTTGCAGGTTATAGAAACATGCTGTAATTGATATTATGCTGTGGTCTATTGCTTCCAAATTTGTATAAAGGAAGTGAAATTCAATCAAATTTCTTATTTTTTTGATGTTTTCATTATCTGGGTAATTCAAATCCGTGGCTTCTTGTTTCATGGACAAAAGAATTTGTAGAAAAATAATATAAAAAGAAATGTTTCTTTCACGGAGGCACAAAACAGAACAATGAAAGCTATAGTTGGAAAAGCTAAGAGATGCCAATATTAGCTGAAGATTTTTCTAAAAATGGTAAGCTTAACGGAATTGAAAAGGCCATTGAATATATAGGCAAAGGTCATTTGATGAAGTATCTGTTGGGAAAATCGCTATTTTCCCGAAGGCGGCTAACAGTATCTATTGATTCTTTGTTCGTAACGGTCAGGGTTTAATTCTGGTAGGTCTGGTAAATATTTTGAAAGTTAGAGGAGAACAAGAAATAAGACGACGTGGCTTTATTCTCTGTCGATTCCCAGTCAACGTTAATGTGTCAACCATGTATCCACTGTCAGTCTTAACGTAACATCAAATAAAATTAGATTGTTAATAAAAATATAGAGTATAATAATGATGCGTAATGGGTAATTAGCTAATCATTAAGTCATTCTAAATTTTATAATTGATGAAATTACTGGAAAAAGATACAAAAATCCTATTATGAAATAACACTTGTTCATGTTGACTGTTAGATCAACTGCCATTAAAACCAAACTTTTTATGTTGACTTCTTGTTCGTTAAGTACATATTGATAACAGAAATATCTTCAAGAATTAGGATGTTTATTCGCAATTCTTAAACAAGCTATGATGCTGAATTCAATATGGATCGCGAACCATTTCTCCCCAAATCAACAGTAATACCAGAAGATTCTCATTCTACTAGCAGCAGACCATCGCCTAACTGGAGAGACTTTTCTTCAAATGCTTACTTTGATCTAATCCCACCTGAAGCCATTATTCCTGTGATCAGAACCCCTAATTCTTCTTCTTATGTAAATCTCCTATCCAACTTGGCCTTGCAAAACAAGAAAACAAGAAAACTCGCTCACCGCTCCCATTCTGCCCCTTCCGTGTTTACTCAAGAAAGGGAATCTTCCTCTATAACTGATTCTTTAGACCCGAGACTTCCCTCAAAATCTACACCGTTGATCGTCCAGCAAGCCTTTGTCGGAGTAATATTGTATCTGATTGTTGTAGTTGTTACATTCCTTGTTAGTGGAAGTTTTAAGGGTACTACTACATTCAAGCTAGTAGATGCCTTGTACTTTACAGTAGTTACTCTTTGCACTATAGGATATGGTGACATTGTTCCAGAAACTACGTTTACAAAGCTATTTACTTGTGTTTTTATATTGGTGGGTTTTGGATTTATAGACATTTTATTAAATGGGTTGGTGACTTACATTTGTGATAAGCAAGAAGCAGTTCTGTTAAGCGCTGTGGATGAGAATCTGCTTAATACGTATATGATCGATAGAGTTAAAGGGAGGATGAGAATTAGAACAAAGGTCTGTTTGGCAATTGGAGTTGTTATTGGATGCATTGCTATAGGAACAATTACAGTGCATTTTCTGGAGAAATTGAGTTGGATTGATAGTTTTTATTTGTCTGTTACTTCTGTTACAACAGTTGGGTATGGGGATTATGCCTTCACTACTGTAACAGGAAGATGTTTTGCTATTATTTGGTTATTAATCAGTACATTAGCAGTTGCTAGGGCATTTCTATATCTGGCTGAGTTGAGAATCGATAAGAGGAATCGTAGAATTGCGAAATGGATCCTGCAGAAGAAAATTACTCTTGGAGATCTGGTAGCTGCTGACCTTGACAATGATGGATCCATCAGGTAATTTACATTTTTTTATACTGTATATTTTTATACACTCCTTTTATTTCTAGATGAACTAGTAGTCTCTTGGTTAAATTACAGGGTGATGTTATTGCCAAAGCAGCATTTGTTAAATCGAGAGCAATCTGAGTTTTTTGAGAGGAGAAATAGTTAATTTACAATTTTAATTAATCCATTGGCCTGATCTTAACAAATATGCTCTGGCAATAAGACCACCCCAAATGAAATTATTCATTTTACTTCTAAAAGAAATTTTATGAAATGCAATGTGACTAAACTAAGTTTTATCAACATTTTCAAAAATAAATAAATAAGTTTTATCATTTATAGATAAATCTTATAGTTTAAATTCATTCATATGATAAGTGTTAGATTAGAAATATACAACTCTGTTTGATTTAGTAAATAAATGGAGATTAGTTGTTGAATTAATTCAAATTTTGTATTAGTTTTAGAACATGTTGATGGGGCTTTATGGGTCCCTGTGCCCCAGCGGCATCTTTGTTGACCCGAACATTATTTTTCATATGTCAAGTAGTCCACCATGTATTAAAAAATTGTCTAAACATTTAATTCAAATGTTAAAATTTAAGTAACCAAATCAAGTTCCTTTCCAATACTCAAAAAAAAAAAAAAAAAAAAAAAGTCCACCATGTATTAAAAAATTGTCGCTAAACATTTAATTTTCAAATTGTTAAAGAATTTAAAAGTAACCAAATCTAAGTTTCCGTTTCCACAATAACTCAAACAAAAAAAAAACAAAAAAAACCAAATTCAAATAGCCATCAAGTGACATAGCTAATTGAAAATCAACTTAATTAATTAAAATTATAAAAAAATGTATTTTAATTTAATATGGAAATAAGAGAAAAAAAAAAAAAAAAAAAAAAACCAAATCAAATAGCCATCAAGTGACATAGCTAATTGAAAATAACTTAATTAATTAAAATTATAAAAAAAATGTATTTTAATTAAATGGGAAATAAAGAGTTTGTTAAAAACAAGGTTAAACATGTATTTTTAAACTTACAAGTCAAATGAAATGTCATTATACTTATGATTTTTTATTTAGCTAATCTAAAAGCCAAACCAAACGCTGTGTTAATTTTTCAGTGCCAGCTGGATTTTACTCTATCTTAATTGAATGTGGGTGAGTGGCGAACCTTTCCTAATTCTGGATCGATGAGGTATGAAATTACAATGTCATACTGCGTTTCCTCGAATCAAAAGAACACAGCTAGATATGTCAGTAGATAAGACACCTTCGGAAAATATCCTGTGCCTATACATGGACTGGATAGTAATTTAATTTTGTATATATATTTGTTTCAAACACATAAAAAATTTATTTTGAAATTCAAAATGTTACTTAATAAAAAATATATAATTTAATTAATAATATTATAAAATTATTTATTTTCTATGTAATTATTTATTTATATAAAGGTGTTCAGTGGTAGGTACTTAATGTCATAAATCTGTGTTTCGTTTGAAGTTAAAATGGGTAGTTATCTTTGATTTTATATATGCCTTGCACTTTGTTCGAATAGGGAGGAAAATTTAAGAGGAAAGAAAATTGGCAATGAAAATAATAAGAGAATCAACTTATATTAAAAGGATAGGGTTAAAGTAGTAAATTAGCAAGAATAGTATTTTCTTTCCTCTATATTTGGGTCTTTCAAACCAAGAAAAAATATATTTTAATTCTTTTTTCTTCCTTTTATATAAACATATAATGGAAAATAAATAAGGAAAGAAAATAATAGAATTCTTCCTTACTTTCCTTCGTCCTTTTCTTTGTTTCCTCTCTTTCCCAAACAGAGTATTAATTCCATTTATAAATATCAACTTATATTATTGGAGTGGATAAGGTAGGTTTAGGGGTGATTCGGTTCGATTTAGGGGTGAGAATTTGGTCCAATCGAACCAAATCACCCCTAACAAAAGAAATCACACTTCAAATAAGGAGAAACTGAATCAAGCTAAATAGGCATGAAGAATCATATTAAACCAAATTGAAATATTTCGATTTTATTGATTTAAAAATCAAAACTAATTGAAATAATTGAATTACAATTTTTGCCTTTCTAAAGGAATTGATTTACCTGGAAAATCAAGCTAAACCAATTAAAATAGCGTTGGTTCGGTTTGCTTTTTTAGTTCGAACCAAAAGTTGCATATCTTGTTTACAGAATCAGCTATTTAGGTAAATTCAGTGTAAAGAAAATCGAATCAAAATCAAATTAGCTGCATTTAAAAATAGAAGCACCGAACCAAATTGATTTTGCTGAATAACCAAATCCAAGTAGTTAGAAGCAAAATATGCTCACCCCTAGGTGGGTTACCCAGAAATACCTTATCAATTACCATTCATGTATGAGTTTAGTATTAGGGGTCTTCTCGTAAAAAAACAAACTTGTTTGTGTTAGAACTAATACAAATTTATTTTAGTAATTTTTTTTTTTTTACTTTATTATAGTTTAGTAACGTTTTTCATTTATGGAAAATGTACTAATACTAATTGGAGAATGAGATTTGAACGTGGATTTATTGCTAGATCATAATACACTTACCATTAGATTATGTTATGGTGTGCGAGTTCAATTAGTTTTGATTGTTTGGTGATAATTTTATTTAGTCTCAATAATTATCTTCTCAATTCGATATAAAGAAAATGGTTACCTCAATTTCTAATTGGTAGGTTAAGAAAATATCTTCTTTCCCCTAAAAGTATTATTCGTTCATAAAATTTAACACCTAGCCTTTTAGTTTCCTTTATTCATTATGTGAAAATTTATATATTTGATGTAACAAAAATAAATGTGTTGATTTGTTTATGGTTGCAGCAAATCTGAATTCGTTATATATAAGCTGAAGGAGTTGGGGAAAATATCAGAGAAAGATATTCTTCAAATTTGCAACCAATTTGATTCTTTAGATAGTACCAACAGCGGCAAGATCACCTTTGCTGATCTTATGGCAGGTGATTGAATTCAAATATGTTTAATGAGCTGCAATGAAATGTAATGTGATGTGATTGTTTCTCTTCAAAAAGAAAAATCTGCTGGCTGACAGTTTGAAATATGAATCGCGGGTTATTGACTTCAGAATCAAAACAATTATCAAAGCTAGCTTCCCGGAAAATGGTTGATAATGCATAATTGAACTTTATACTTTTAATGATTATCCTTGTGGTTTCTTGAAGTTAATTTGTGAGAGTTCAATTATGCATTTTTACAAAGTTATACAATTATACCAAGGGCAAATCAAAGTTACGTGACCTTATGAAACTAAATGTAAAGTGAAGTGACCATTGATGTAATTTCCCTGTAAAGTAAATTATTTGAAATGCAAATTACAAGACTTTGTTAAGTAAATTGCTTATGAACTGAGTTAAAATTGAAATTATGTAGTTTTAGTGTTTGCTTTAGGAGTTGATCGGGTTGTTCTCTAGGTCTCACTTTTCCTTTTGTAGCTGCCCATGGAAAAATCTGGATTATCCACTTCTCCATTGTGCATGTAGCTGAAAAATCTGAATCTCTCTCGGGATGTTTGAATCTTATTTTGTTCGCTTAATTGGAAGAGTCCTTTATGGACTTCAGTTAGACCAAATGATATAATTAAAGGGCTCCCAAAAGACAAATAAAGTATAAAAAATAATTAAATATGTTTCTAGTAGGATTTATTTTTCAAAAAAAAAAAAAATTTCTAGTAGGTATTAACGTAGACATATGAACTTCAAGCAATAAAAAAAAAAAAAAAAAAAAAAAAAAAAAAATCTAGTTAGCGTATTAACGTAGGACATATGGAAACTTCAAGCATAAAAAAGAAAAAAAAAAAAAAAAAACAAAAGAAAAGGGTTACGTGTTTAGCAACGAAAAAATCTGTTTATATTCGATTAGAAACGGCCATTAGGCAATCCCGAATAGGATTTTCAAATCTTGTATTTGAATTAAGAAACAAACTCAAAAGGATTTAAAATAGGACGAATCTTGAAACGAATATTTCCGTTCTAGCGAATCCTATGGGAGATTAAAGATGCGTAATGTAGAAAACGTCGAATTAGCAAATGAAAAAAAAAAAAAAAAAAAAAAAAAAAAAAAAGGGTTACGTGTTAGCAACGAAAAAATCTTATATTCGATTTAGAAACGGATTAGCAACCGAATAGGATTCAAAATCTTGTATTGAATTTAGAAACAAACTCAAAAAGGATTTAAAATAGACAATCTTGAAACGAATATTCCGTTTCTAGAATCCATGGGAGATTAAGATGCGTAATGTAGAAACGGATTAGCAATGGATTAGAAATGAAATTTAGAAAAGGATATTTTATCTGTTTTTCCATCGAGCATCTTCAAACCTCTCGCTTCTTCTTTTATTACTTTATCATCTGTTTCTACATATTATTACTTATAAATTGATTTTTTTTTCTTTCTTTTTTTATTTATCTTATTTTATTATGTTTTAGTGGACAGAAATAATACTTCTTATGGATTAACTAAAGAATTTTAAAAAATAATTTATATAATGAATATCTCTTTTTCAAAAATAGATTATGTAATTAAAATTTTAAATTAATTGTGTTTAAAGTTTCTAATTATATTATTAAAATTAAATAAAATAAAAGATTTTATTATGTTTTGATTATAAAAATATAAAAACAAATATTATTTTTGGTTAAATTTTTATTGAAGATAAAGAAAACTAAATAAATTATTTAAATACTTGAAAACCAAAAATAAAAAATAACAAAGATAAATAATTTTTCTTTCATATAGACAAAGTTTTCATTTTGGGTGTTTCATTTAAATAGACAAAGTTACTTAATTTAGTCTATGACCAAAGTACAAAGTCCAAATTACTCTTTATTTGCTCTGTTAACAATGCAAAGTTTTTTAGAAAAACAAGAAAGTAGTAGAAAAAAATTCAAATATTGCATTAAATATGATTGAATTATCAATACTGTATTATGTTTCTCTCTCCGTGTTCAGCTACATTGCACACAATTTTCAGATTTTGTGCTTTGTTTATTGTTACATCATCTGCATTTAAATCTTCTAACTATGACATACTTTTGTTATATGACTGTATATTCCTTTATGATCTATCATTGTTCAGTAAGATAAAAAAAATGCGCACATGTTCTAACGTATATTCCATTAGTTAAGACATTATATGAGTATATTTTATCACAAACTACTTGTGTAAAAAAAGTTGACAAAAAGAAAAATGAGCATGTGTAATATAAGTTGGGCATTGAATATTTTACTACAAAAAATTGCACATTTTTACAAATTGTGCATATTTTTATGAAATTGCGTCGTACATTCTTTATAAAATGTGCACATTTTTAATGTGAGCAAAATTTTTTTATTTGATTAGGATGTTAAGTTGGCGTTAATTAATAGAAAATTCGGTGCAATTTTGTTGTAATCCGTCCTTTAATTATGGGTATAGATCATTAAATGTGTTTATAAACATAAGTTGGCATGAGATGTTTGAGTTTCTCCACAAACACTCAATTAATATAATGTGGAGGCAAAATAGAAAAAATTTGGCAAAAAAATTTAGTTAAACTAATTCCTTAATTTTTATGCAAATTTAGTTCTATCTATATAAAAGAATTGGAAGGAGTATTATAGTAAAATGTAATTAACATTCCGTTACTATGTTTAGTCATATAATTGAAAAAAATTTATAGAATGTAATCATCATTTTATTTTTATATTTGTAAATATGTAATGTAATAAGCACACCACCACTACCAATAATCACACTACCACCTCAATATCGTCCTGGAGAAACCAAGTGTGAACAGTGATTAATTTTACTTCCCCCCTTAGCTACTCTAGGATGGGGTTAGGTCTTGATGAGGAGGTTATAGACACATTTCTATACATATCACTCCACTACCACTACTGCCACCATTTTTATGTTTGGTCATGTAATTAATTTTATATTACAACTTAATCTATTTAATGAAATATATAAAATTATATGTAAAAAAATTATTTTCCAATGACTTTAACTTTTAATGTTTATATTATATTTTTTTTCCATCTTATTTTCTTTTAGTTTTTTAGTCCAAATAAATATAAATTGCAGAGGTCTTTAGTAGCTTGATATAATGAATAGCTTTTCACTCAAATGTTTTTTTTTTTTTTTATATTAATAATAAGCTGGTGATAGTAGTGGTGGTTGAGATGGTGATAGTGATTATGGTTGAGGTGGTAGCGCAGTTATGGTTGTGGTGGTAGTGGTGGTGGACTGGTGGTTGAGGAGGTGGTGGTGGTGGTGGTGGAGGTGATAATGAATTGTAGAGTCTGAGATTGAGTTTGGTTAGAGTTTAACTTTTGAGAGATTGTGATGGAGTGACCATTATAAGTTTTTGGATGAAATAGCTATTACATTATTTCAAATTCTGGTAAATACATTTGTAATATTCATTACATTATGGAGTAAGAAAAAAATTCATCCAAACATTGCAATCAACTGTATGATGTTATTCCACTATATAGTTGATTATGTTGAACCAAATGTAGCTTTAGATTTTGCAAAATCATATTTAAGGTGTTTCCTTTTTCAAATTTTTGTATTGTTGCTTTTAATTACTAAATTTGTATTTGATTTTTTAGAACATCATGAAACTAAAAAATTAAAAATTTACTAAACTTTTTTGATTATTGTATAATTTTTTTTAAGTTTATCTAGGTGTCATCTCCTCACACGAAATAAATTCTTTTTAATGTTCTCATTAATTGTATGCTAGAATGTGATGTTGATTGAAAATTATCTATTTTGACTTTGGATAATTGTACTACCAATGATGCTATGATTAGGATACTTTCAAATAAGTTTGGAGGTAGTACTCTTTTATTGAATGGTTCTATTTTGCATGTGTACTTCTGATTGTGCAAGATGGTCTATCCTTTACCATTTATTGAAACAGTATATAATAGTATGGTGCATTGGACTACATCATCAAACAGGAGACCAAACCTTAATGACATGTCTATTTAATATTAATTTGTATTTCACGCACGAAGGAGTTACCACTTGATTGTAAATTTGATGTAAATTTGAATTTGCTTTGCATTATAAAGATATATTTTTTCGATTGAGGCAAAAAGGTTTATCTTATACTGTTGTACAAAGTTAAAAAGAATGAGAATTAATAGAAGTAATTTATTAAAAGTTAGAGTTGTTTTAAGATGTCACTTAAATATTTAGTGACTCTAAGTATCTGATAGTTAAATGTCTATTTTTCTAAAGTTTGTGAGGTGAAAATAACTTCAAATGAATGAATTTTGTCTCCTAATAAGGTAATAAAAAAACATAGTTTTAAACTTGATTGACAAATTTAACCATTATTGGAACATTATTCATGGCATCATGGGTGTGGCAGTTATCTTAGATCCAAGATTTAAGATGAAATTGTTAAAATGGATATTTACTCAAATTTCGGTGATGAAGCTAAAAATAAAATTCTTCAAATTAAGAATATTCTTTATCATATTGCTCAATGAATACAATAGGAAAGATCTAAAAACTAATTAGTATTCTACTTCAACATCTATGCAACTACTTTAACTTTTGCTGTTAGTTCTACTCATTTTATGGAAAAGAATTTTCTTTTATAGGTTTGACTTGCTTGTGAGTAATGACAACAAAGTTGAAAATATAAAGGTGAAATTAGATTATTATCTTGAGGATGGTGTGCTTCCTAGAACTAATAAGTTTGATATTTTATCTAGGTAGAAAAATCATAAATCAAAATGAGAATAGTTGATTGATAATAAGGGATAAGATTAGATATCAAAATTGAATTTAACTTAAATGTCAAAACTGAGTTAACTTAGATTTTATCTAATTAATATTAGATTAGATTAGATTAAATTTGTAAAAGAAAAAATAAAATATTCAAAAAGTTATTAAAAAATCAAAAATTTTATAAAAAAAAAAAAAAAGGAAAGCTTAAAGGACAGAGTGTCAAGTCAGCTTTGTAGAGTTTTTTTTTTTTTTTTTTCTTCAGGATTATATATATATATAGTAGTCGTGATCCTACGCTGATATTTATAGACATATATCTTAATTTGTAAACTTAAACAAAATTAGATAAACGTTTGTTTCAATAAAAATAAGAAATGAAAACATCAATATAATTTATTGACTAAAAATTATAAGAATTGAGCAATTAAGTTTTTTATTCCTACCTCAACTTATTTTTTTTACTTAAAAAAAAACATAGAATAATATATAATCTAAAAGAATTATGCACCATGATTGTTTTTTAAAAAATAAGAATGAGAAGTGAAAAATAGATACATAAAACTATTATAAATAAATCTTAATTTTTAATTGTAAATAAAATACCTAT